GTGTGTGTGGTGGTGAATGTTGGAAATGGTGGTTATGCGTGCGGTAGTGGATGTGCATTAGGGCATAGGGGAAAGAAGGTTGGAGATTGAGAGGGAGAGTCTGAGAAGGAGAAGAGAGGGGGAAAACATGTTACCTGGAGAATGGTTTTTAATGCGGCATTGTGTGAGAGAAAAAGAGATAGGGGAAAGACGCGTTGCGTGAGAGAAAGAGATAGGTTGAAGTGACAAAAAAGAAAGGGGAGATAGGAGATATTTGAAATCTAGTGAATAAAGGGGTGAACATTGCGTGAACGAAGGGATTAAAACAATTAAGAGAGTCAATTTTGTTTGTCGGATTAAAGGTGAATATTAACTAATTAATATGAGATATTCCAACAAATTAATAAGTTAGGAGATTCAAAAGTCTTTGTACTTTATTATAAAAATATGAAGAGATATTTATATGTTGTTGAATTATTATATAGATAGTAATATCATTAAATATTTTAGTAAAATAATTTTGATCAATTAAAAGTTTGAAAGATAGTCAACATACATAAAACTACAATTATGGATAGAGATATACACGAGAATAAGGTTAGTTTACCCAATCCTTGGTGTCAAGATTCATGATTTTGATTTAGGTGATGTACAACTATTAATTGAAACGTCATAAATTAATATATATGTATGTATTATATTTAATTACATATAGAGATATAAGATTGAAAAATTAATTTTGGTAGTATGTATAGTTGGACTATACATAGATACTCACATCGGAGATTAAATATTGGGTGTAATGATTACACAACATTATTATTGTCATATAGTGTAATAATCCAATAAGAGCAAAACAAGCAAGTGAATCTTACATAATTTTGTAATCAATCCTCTCTGTTATTTGATAACCACCTAAAATTTTAAAATAATTATCAAGTAAGATACACTTATTCACTTGTTTTTTATTGAATGACTAGTTATTGCTCGTACCTGAAAGTACAAAGTAATAAAAAAAATGATTAATAATAAACAAATTTGTATTCACACCCAAAATCAAATTACAAGGATAGAGGAGAGAGAAAATAATTTAAGCACTGGTTGTAATGAGGGTGAGAGGTGATGGACGGTAGTAGTGGTTGTAATAGACGGTAATGGTTGTGGTGGGTGACAATGACTGTGACGGTGGTGGTAGCCGTGGGTGACAATGGTGATGGTAGTAATGACAATCATGATTGACAACGGTGGTGGTGGTAGTGGTGGGTATGGGTGGTGGTGAGCGACGGTGATGGCTGTTGACCATCGTGGTGGTGGTGGGCAATGATGATGGTGATGGTGGGCGACAACAGATATTTTTTGGCGACCGTATGATGGGTGGTGGCGAATGGCAATGATTGGGGGGTGGCGACAATGGTGGGCGGTGAAGGGTGGTGGTGATAGGTGTGGTAGGGGTGGGTGAGAGTGGTTGTTAACAACGGGTGGTGGTGGCGGCAACAATATGGTGGTGGTGGGTGGTGGCGGTGACGATGATGGTGATGATGATGAGGGTAATGGTGGCGGTGGTGGTAATGGTGATGGTCGTGGGACGATGGGGGTGGTGCTGGTAAGGGTGATAGTGAGACGAAACCGATAGTGGTAGGGTGGTGACAACAGTGGTGGTGAGGGGTGTAGTACTAGGGATGATGGTGGGGGGACGGTGGGGGTGATGGTGGTGGGGTGGTGGTGGTGGTGGTGGTGGGTGACGATAGTGATGGTGATAGCGATGATGGTGGTGGGACAGTGGTGATTATTGTTGTAGAGACGGTGGTGGTGAATGGCGGCGGTGATGGTAGTGGGGGTAGTGGTGGTACTAGTGGTAGGGGTCGTTGTGGTGGTGGGGTGGTGATTGTGGTGGTGGTGGGGTGATGAGGGTGGTGGGAATGGTGGTAAAAGTTAGGACTGTCAAAATCTGACACNGGTAGTGGTGGTACTAGTGGTAGGGGTCGTTGTGGTGGTGGGGTGGTGATTGTGGTGGTGGTGGGGTGATGAGGGTGGTGGGAATGGTGGTAAAAGTTAGGACTGTCAAAATCTGACACGACACGATTGATCGACACGAATTAAGCGGGTTTGTGTGAGATTTTAACGAGTTTAGATGATAAACGAGTTGACACGCCAAACACGTTTAATAAACGGGTCGTATTCGGGTAAGACCTGTCAAACCGTTTATCACACGTTTGCTCGTTTAAATAAAATTAATATAAAAATAAATTAATAATTATTTTTAAAAATTAACAAGAAAAAAAGAAGTACAGAAATCAATAAAAAAAAAGAAGTAAAATAGTAGTTCAAAGATAAAGGAGAGGAGATGGGGAGCACTTCAAAGGCAAAGGTAAACTAATGCCTTTTGTTTTTGTCTCACATTAGAAAATGAGGGGAGATTGGGAGGGCTGAGTTGCCTATAAAAGACAATGGTCTCTTGTTTTTTTTTTTTTTTTTTAAGTTTTCAAGTCTTATTTTTATGAGATTTGACTAAAAATTCCTCTTTTTTGAAGTAAGTGCAATTGACAATAAAAAAAAAGTGGAGTATTAAAATTTATTGATATAATTTTTTTAAAATTAAACGGGTTAAACGATTCGTGTCGTATTACCCGTTTATTAAACGGGTCGTATTCGTGTTGAGGTTTTTTACCTGTTTATTAAACGTGTCGTGTATGAGTTTATATATTTTTCACCCGTCACCCATTTAACTCGACACGTAACCGTTTAACCCGACACGATTGACACCCCTAGGTAGAACAGTTTCAAATACTATTTTTTTTTATTTATTTAAAGTAGTTATAAGAAAATATAAGTCTTAGAATCACATTTAAAAAGACACCTCAAACACAAATTATTGAGCCTATTTTTTCTATTAAATTTGAGGTGTTAATATTTTAAAAAAATCTCAACTGTAAAAAGTAAAAGTCATTTTATTTATTTACTGATATTTGAATTATATTATATTTTATTATATAGATAACACCATGTAGTCGGCCAATATAGTATAACCGATACATCTAATATTTAAGCCACGTGGGAAATATCATGATACACGCTTTGACTCAATGGGTGTGTTTAGGTAATGGGGTAGAATAGGGTAGGTTTTCGTTTTTTTATCTTCTAACCAATTTAAGTCAAACTCACTCATCCATTTTAAAACTCTAACCCAAGATTATATTTAATTCTAACCTTTGTTTGGGAAACAGATGTATAATTTAATGGGTCTCATAGATTACACAAATAATTTTGTAATAGTTTATCATTCTACCTATAACTCTATCCATTCCAATCCAAACCAATCATATCATATGTTTGGTTAACTCATCCAAATCTAATAAAATTTTACATTTTTCACATATACTTAAATACATATAAAAATTATATATGATTTAGACCTCTTGTTTAATTTTTTAGTTTTATTTCAATAGATAATATAATTATATTTTAATTACAATTTTTTAAGAAAAAAATAATTTTTAATTTTTAATTTTATTTTAATAAATAATACAATAGAATATGAATTTTGATTGTAAAATAATATTTGATATTCTATCTTTAATTGAAATATTTTTTGTCTAAATATAATATTTTAAATTTAAGGGGTCTGAGTATTATATATCTACTACAAACTTCAAAGGGATTTAAGTATAATTTATTAACGAATATATTAATTTTAAGGAGTCTAAGTGTTACACGCGTATAAATTTAAGAGAATTTGTGTTTAATATTTTAAATATCAGAAATTTAAATAATTAAATGACAAATTTTAAAGGATTTAAGGTTAATTTTTCCTAGATAAATCTATCAAACCCAAAGCCAGACCAAACATCTTCTTCGTTCAACGCCTCCTATATACATCCCACCGCCACCATTAAACCCGCCACCATCGCCACCAGAACTCACTGCCCCATCTCTCCCACCACCATCACCTCTACCTACACTCCCATCTTTCTCCCCTGCTTACCACAATCCATCGAGCTCTTCTCCCTTTCGCCAAATAAACCTTCAACACAATAGAAACGCCGCCATCACCACCACCACCACCACCACCACCATTACCTCCCACCACCACAATTCAATGCTTCATTCAATTCCAGATCGTACATGGAATCCAGATCTGTTCCTCGAAGATCTATTTTTTTGAAGATCGTCTTCTTCGTTCTATCCACACGAAGCAGAAAATTGGAGGACCTCAAATTATCGCCTTCTTCCTTGCCTCTGTGCAATAGGCCTTGGATGAGCTCAGCTCCTTCTGCAATCTGGTTGATAGGCGAAAGAGAGAGGGCTGAGTGGGTGGAGAAAGAAAGAGGANTGTTCCTCGAAGATCTATTTTTTTGAAGATCGTCTTCTTCGTTCTATCCACACGAAACAGAAAATTGGAGGACCTCAAATTATCGCCTTCTTCCTTGCCTCTGTGCAATAGGCCTTGGATGAGCTCAGCTCCTTCTGCACTCTGGTTGATAGGAGAAAGAGAGAGGGCTGAGTGGGTGGAGAAAGAAAGAGAAGAGGCAAATCTGTCTATGGTGGGATTATCTTGTTGGCTGGGTTTGTAATCCATGGGGGTGGGTTAAGTTTAGCCGGTGCAGAAGGGATAATGGGCACTATAACAACCGAATCAAAGATTAACCCAGAATTTTAATCCAACCTCAAAAATACTTTTCAAAGATTTTGTGGGACCATTGCACAATTAAGCTGTCCATGCCGGTGTTAACCCACTTTAATCCCCAACCCAAACACACCCAATAATTGCCACCGACACCCTGGCTCATGTTAGCACCCAACGCGGCGCCGCCCTCTCCAGGGATCACATACATTCACAAGCAGCCGGACATAGAGGGCGTCACTTTCACAGTGTCAACGCTAAAAGTCGCCGTTTCCAAATCCACTAAGGAAAAATCATTCTGGTCGGTGTAACGTTACCGTTTAACAATACCTTCTACTAGTGGCGAACGCACCCAATCTTCTCTCTCCTCTCCCTCTCATCTCTCTCTCTCATCTCTGCATGGGCTCTCTCTTCACATCCTTCACCGCTCACCTCCTCCTCTTATCCTGCGCACTCCTCCCTCAACTCACCCACTCCGGCGGATTTTACGTCAACTCCATCCCCACAAACTTCACCGCCTCACACTTCCAATTCATCGACCACTCCGGCGTTTTCTTAGCCTCTCAAAATGGCACTTTCAAAGCCTCCATCACAAATCAAAAGCCCGAAGACAAATCTTTCTATTTGGTTGTACTCCACTCACCCTCCGGCGTGTTTATCTGGTCGGCGAATCGGAATTCCCCGATCTCAAACTCCGGCAAAGTCCACCTCTCCGACAACGGTCTCACCATCGTCGACGATGCCGGAAAACTCATCTGGTCAACGACGCCGCTCAGTTCCCCCGTCTCCTCCTTACATCTTCAAGAGTCCGGCAATTTAGTCCTGTTCGATCATTTCAATAACTCTTTATGGGAAAGTTTCGATCACCCGACCGACACCATAGTCACAGGACAACGCTTACGTGTTAATCAATCATTGATCAGCGCGGCTAACGAAACTGATATCTCCGAAGGTGATTACAGATTCAAAATCAATACAGTTATCAATGATGCAGTGATGGAGTGGAATGGGCTTACATACTGGCAGTTATCAATGGATGGAAAGGCCAACAGGAATTCAAATCTTCCAGGGACCCACATGGAGATTACTAGTACTGGGTTGTATTTACTTGGTGCCAATGGATCATCATCAATGTTTGTGGTACAAGTCAAGCTCCAAAATTCTTCGGGTTTAAGAATGGTAAAGTTGGAACAGGGTGGAAGTTTAAGTATCAAGAGTTCAATGAGCAATAGTTGGGAAATAGAATTCACTGGTCCAGTTGATTCTTGTCGGATTCCATATATCTGTAAGAAGATTGGGCTCTGTGGTAGCCGGACTTGTTCGTGTCCACCGGGTTTTCACAGTGACCCAAAGATGGATGGTGATTGTACTCCTACTGATAGTTCTCTCACATTACCTTCTTCTTCTTCTTGTAATGCAAGTGGTAATGGCACTGAAATGAACAATGGGCTAGTTTCTTATATGAAACTTGGGAATGGTAAGGACTATTTCGCTAATGATTATATCAAGCCTGTGAAAGTTGGGGTGAGTTTATCAGCTTGTGAAAGCTTATGTTCTCAGAATTGTTCTTGCTTGGGAATTTTTCATGGTAATTCGTCTGGGTCGTGTTATCTGCTTGAAAATTATTTGGGTTCGATTATCTCGATCTCGACAACGCAAAATGATCGAATTGGGTACATCAAAGCTATAGGTGTATCTAATTCAATTGGTGATGGGAATGATCAGAAATCTACTAATTTTCCTATTGTGGGTTTGATTCTTTTACCACCTTCTGTGGTCGTCTTCATTTTTGTCTTCATGGGAATAATTTGGTTGAGAATAAGGAAAAAGTGGTCCAGAAATGGAGGTAAAAAATTAGGCCATGGTAGGAGTTCTTCTTCATCCACCGAGCTTGAAATAATTTTAATCCCGGGTTTGCCTATGAGATTTGATTATGAAGAACTTGTGACTGCTACGGATAATTTTACAACCCAAATCGGTACTGGTGGATTTGGAACTGTATTCAAGGGTACTCTACCAGACAACACCGAGGTGGCTGTGAAAAAGATAACTTGTATTGGGAATCAAGGGAAGAAGGAGTTTTGCACTGAGATAGCCATCATTGGGAAAATTCACCATGTCAATTTGGTTACATTGAAAGGCTTCTGTGCACAAGAGGGACAAAGATTTCTAGTCTATGAATACATGAATAGAGGATCGTTAGATCGTAGTCTGTTTGGCAATGGGGCTTTATTAGAATGGCGCGAGAGATTAGAAATAGCACTGGGAACAGCGCGTGGACTTGCTTACCTGCACAGTGGCTGCGAACACAAGATCATCCATTGCGATGTGAAGCCGGAAAACATTCTCTTGCATGGACAATCACAGGTATGTGGTCAGTGGGATCTAATTTGGATCGGATTGTGACCGATTAATTTAAAACTTTGATTTCAATCCGATTCATAAATTTCATTTTCATAGTTCATACTAAATTCCGTTAAACATACAGAATTTGACCCCAAAATCGATGTAATTCGACAAACTTGCATAAANTCTCTTGCATGCACAATCACAGGTATGTGGTCAGTGGGATCTAATTTGGATCGGATTGTGACCGATTAATTTAAAACTTTGATTTCAATCCGTTTCATAAATTTCATTTTCATAGTTCATACTGAATTCCGTTAAACATACAGAATTTGACCCCAAAATCGATGTAATTCGAAAAACTTGCATAGAATTNTTCATAAATTTCATTTTCATAGTTCATACTGAATTCCGTTAAACATACAGAATTTGACCCCAAAATCGATGTAATTCGACAAACTTGCATAGAATTTTAATCAAACTATTTTAGAAAATAATCTATATAATAAATCAATTAGATTTTTGAACTTATAGGGTATATTTCCCCCCAAAATCTCACAAACCTATCACACACTCCAGAGCACACAACTGCACACATATACACATACTCTAACACAAAAACACTCATTATATGCACACTTCAACTGTACACGCACTCTAATACATGCACATTATTATATCTTAATGTATAGTGACTATACTCTAACACAAAAACACTCGTTATATGCACACTTCAACTGTACACGCACTCTAATACATGCACATTATTATATCTTAATGTACAGTGACTTTAATCACGAGATATCGCTAGTCATACAATATCATATATGTTTATTTACGTGTACAATTTAGATTGAATCACAATCGTATTGAGAATTTGTATATTCAAATACAAATCCTTGGATTCGATGGTGTGACAATATCAATTCCAATATCATTAATCTTTTTTCGAATTTAGGTCAAAATCTGATCTAACGAGAGGCTTACTTACTAATTTACAGGTGAAAATCTCGGATTTTGGGCTTTCAAAGTTATTGAGCCCAGAGGAATCTGGATTATTTACAACCATGAGAGGCACCAGAGGCTATTTAGCACCAGAGTGGCTGACAAGTTCTGCCATCTCCGACAAGACAGATGTTTATAGTTATGGAATGGTGTTGTTAGAAATAGTGAGGGGCAAGAAGAACTGCTCTTTACAAACACAAAGCCACCGCTCAGAAGATGATCACAGCCATAGGGGAAACAATAGTTGTCAGGTTTATTTCCCACTGTTTGCATTGGAAATGCACCAAGAGAGGAGGTATTCTGATCTCGCAGACCCAAGACTCGAGGGACAGGTCACAAATGATGAGGTGGAGAAGCTAGTGCGGGTGGCTCTATGTTGTGTGCATGAAGAGCCGATGCTGAGGCCAACAATGTCTAGTGTTGTTGGCATGTTGGAAGGCGTGTTGCCCATTGGCGAGCCTCGTGTTGATTCGCTCAAGTTNGCCGATGCTGAGGCCAACAATGTCTAGTGTTGTTGGCATGTTGGAAGGCGTGTTGCCCATTGGCGAGCCTCGTGTTGATTCGCTCAAGTTTTTACGGTTCTATGGGCGGAGATTTACGGAGGCATCAACAATAGAAGGGCACAACGAAGAAAACGAGCTTACGTTGGAACCACGAGTAGATATCGTTATTGATAGTTCTACGAGTGGCTCACACCACTCCTGTTCTTACATTTCCTCACAACAAATTTCTGGTCCAAGGTAGAGCTGGGAGGTTCATGCTGGTGTGGATATTGTACATTCTACTAACATATAAAATTCATTGGTGTTGTGTTTTACCTTTAGAGAAAATTATTTAATGGGATGTTGTGTAATTATATTGAAAATCTCAACTCCTCAAATCCAATTGAGAAAATTATATATATGTCCTCAAATTATAACCTTTGTTTCAATTAAGTCCCTATTTTTTTTGTACATCGAGCTCCTGAATTCTTTAATTGTATCAATTGAACCCTTATATATGCTTCTGTTATAGTGTGCCACTCATGTGACTATATGGCAAAAAAAGACAGAAGAACTCAATTAACATAATTAGATAGTTCAGTATTGACAAAAAAAAAAAAGTTCAAAAGCTTAATTGACATAATAATCATAGTTTGAGGGTCATATGCGTAGTTTATTTCAACCATTTGTGTTACGTGAGTGACACACTTTGCTAATTTTCGTTAGAAAATCTAACAGAGGCAAACATTAGGGCTCAATTGACATAATTAGAGAGTTTAGAGGGTCAATTGACCAAAAACAAAATTTAGAGACTTAATTGACACAAGGATAATAGTTTGAAGGCTATATGTGTAGTTTACTTAATCCAATTTCAAATTTCAACTTTACCATTTTTTAGAGGGTTGTGGGTGTATTTTTTTTTTTTGGGCTAAATGAGAGGGTTGTGTTTGATAGTTCGGATTTGTCGGCATAATGTCTAAAATATCCTTGTGGATCAATCACATGAATCACTTTTTGTTAAAAAAATTTGGTAAGATTAGATAGGAGGTGCATGTTGAATCAAATTAAGAAGTTGGAGGACTTGATTAGAATTTTTTTTAAAAAAAAAGTTGAAGTGCTTAATTCAAAAAAAGAGTTAACTATCTATTTAGCCCTTAAACTATATTATTTAAGTCAATTAAGCCCCTCAACTTTGGTTTGTGTCAATTTAGCCCTTCAACTTGTCAATGTGTGTCAATCAAGCCCTTTCATCCAATTCAGCTGTTTACTGTGACGGACAAACGCATGCATGACTCACGTGAGGCAAGTTCTAGGGTAATTAAGGAAAAATGATGTATTTTGGGGCCAAATCTTCCACAGCTTCCCTCCTTTACAAAGCTTCCCTCCTTTTCAGTGGTTCCCTCTGTTTCTGTGCTAGGTTTTGCAGAAACAGAACAATATTCAACAAGACAAAAAAAGGGGAAGAAAGAGAATCTTAAAATAGAGCAATATTCACACGGCTATGGTCAACAAACTGACATGATATAGGAACATATCACATTTTCCCCGATCATGCTAGTTGTACAACCATGTTAACATCCTAAGCATATTCTAAATTGTGCTAATTGATAAAGCAAATTTCCATGCATGAGTATCAGGAAGGTTAAATCTAATATATATAATCTTAAAACCCAATATTACACCTCCAATCACCAGAAAAAGGGAACAATATCCGAAAGGGATCAAGAACATTAGCAACCCATGCAAACTTAACACTACACCAGCATAATTAGAAACAAAGAAAATGAGATAAAGGGGGAGAAGGAGGGGGAAGGGGGTAAGACATACAAGATAGAAGTCAATTCCTGATCTTAAATCAATTGATTTAACCACTGTGGCATCTTGAAATCACAGTTTGTTTCTTCTTTTTCTTACCTTGCTTTGTCACAAGGAACAAGATCTGAGCAAACCCAAACTTCTTTCTCTTTGTGGGGAGTTGCTTGTGACCACCATCCTTTTCACCCTTTAGAGCAGTAGCATGGAGATCACCACTGGGTTTACTAAGTATTTGACCCAATGACACCTTGCGCTTCCCATTGCTTTTTTTTTTGTCTGCATCCCATTCTCATATTCTTTTGTTAACAACTTTCTGCTCAGTATTTGCCTTATCGACAGAGTTGACCTCAAAACTGGATTTGACTCATCATTAACCAGATTCAATCCATTTGCATCTAAGACACAAGAATCTTTACGGAGGTGAGATGGGTAGGAATTCTTGAACTTGGTAGAGTAATGTACATAACGTCTTTTCTGACCATGCTCGAATCGCCACTTGCGCAGAGCCTCTTCAACTGTCAACTTCCCTCTATTTGTAGCCTCTACTATGCTTAGAGCTTCTTCAAATGTCTTCTTGCTGATTTGAATTCTTCCATAGCTTCCTCTACCCGCCTTAAGATCTCTGCTTTTGACACATTAGCTTCATCAACTTCAAGCATGACATACATCACTCTTTTCTTAGAAACTTCTTCTACCTCTCGAGCTTTGGCAGTTAAAGATGAGTATTCCTCAAATGAAAGAGTTACACCATCAGGCTTTTACAGAAGAACTACAAAGGAGCTCTCACTGTTTGATAGGGCATTAATCTCTAAAAGAGCAACAACTTCAGAGGCTCTAGGGTTAGGAAAGACAGATTTCCTTCTAAGGTTCCTTTTATTCCCATATCAAGACAAAACTTACAAAATTTCCTACTATGAGTAAACTAAGAGCAAGAATAAAAAATCAGGTGGTTCAATTCAGGAAATCAGGAACATGATAAAACACAAACAATTAAGGAAACTATGTAGCTGAGTTGAGGGATCTCAAAATCTATAAACTAACGTGTATTAAACATTCTTCTTGATAGCGACTATATATATTGAATGCATGCAAGCTAGTGCTTCATTATAAATGAGGGTGATGATTCACTTCATTTCACAGCTACATTGTCACTAAGATTGTTCTTCTTCCCCTTTTTTTCTTGTTGATTATTGCTCTGTTTCTGCAAAACCCAACACAGAAACAGAGGGAACCATTGAAAAGGAGGGAAGTCGTGGAAGATTTGGCACCAAAATACATCATTTTCCCGTAATTATCCCTGTAACTTGCCTCACGTGAGTCATGCGTGCATTTGTCCGTCACAGTAAATGGCTAAATTGGATGGAAGGGCTTGATTGACACACATTGACAAGTTGAGGTGCTAAATTGACACAAACCAAAGTTGAAGGGCTTAATTGACTTAAACAATAAGTTTAAGGCCTAAATAGGTAGTTAACTCTCAAAATAATGATACGGTTGAGAGACCATTTGAACACTATACTCTTTAGATTGTGTCGACTAGATGGTGTTTTTTACACGAGATTAGTTCGTTGAAACTCTACCCATACTGTGCATATGGTAGTTATTCTCAAGGTATTTAGACCTTGAGTGCTTAGTTGTACTTCCATAGGGAACAACTCCGCATAGACAAAGTGCAGGCATAATTGTTTACTGAGTATACAATGTCTTGTTTCTTTTGAAATCGACATAATATTAAAAAAAATGTAAAGAGAGTAATGCATAAAATATATTTAAAATAAGTTTTTTAGGAATGCAATATATCAATGTGTTGATCTTTATGATCACACATTTCTTTTTCTTTCTTATTTCATTCATTGCTTTTCAGAGTGTTTTTTAGCCGGAGAACAAATGCATTTTATAACCAAAGAACTGAGGGGGTTAGGGGACAAAGGATTGAATGGTCATATAAGGAGTTATAGGAGATGGTTGGGCGGGGGAAAGGACATTATTCTGGTGGTCCATCCACCTTTGACTTTACAACACTTCCCCTCAAATGACCACTTTACTAAGATAATGTTGGATACATGAATGTTGTCTCATTAAAACCTTGCTAGTAAAACCCATTAGGATAAAATCTGGACGAAGAAAAAAGAGTGCAACGTGCAAATTATCTTTTATCTTGTTATGAATGCTCCCCCTGATAAGAAAAATCAATCGAGCTAGTCACACTAGTGCATTCTGATATCATATACTAACTTTATGAACATTGATGATGNCATATATTGTAATAATAGCAAATTCAGAAACTGATCTTTTTATAAATACACATGAGCATATGAGATTGTTGACATATCCTTCTTTTGCCAAATATTTAGTGAGACAATGATACCATATTCTACCAGATTGCTTTAATCCATATAAGGATTGTCTCAATTTAATTGAATACATACTTTGTGATTTTGATGTATTTGCTTTAAGCAATTTTAGTCTTTCAGGGACTTTCATATAAATATTAGTATTTAAAATTGTATATAAATATACGGTAACTACATCCATAAGATGCATGTCGAGTCTTTCTGAAATTGTCAGACTAATTAAGTATCAAATGTAATTGCATCCATTACCGGTGAGTATATTTCCAGGGTCTCTACAAGAACCCTTGTGCCACTAAGCGTGTTTTATATCTTGTGATCTTGTTTTTATAATTTATAACCAGTTAATTTTAAACCATCGGGTGTTAGAATTACAAGTCCACACACTCCACATTTTTCTAGAAAATTCAATTCTGTTTGTATTGCTTCTTTCCACTTTGGCCAATCATGTCTAGACTAACATTAATCAATAGAGCGTAGTTTGAGATCATCATCCTTTAAGATTTCAATAGCCACCGAAAAAAAAAATATCATGTATTACTATTTCTGTGCAATCCCACATTTCTCTTGTGCATGCATAATTAATAGAAAAATTTTTTATTGTCGGATATCTACATCTCTTTAGGAGTCTGTTTCTCTTCAGGAGTATGTGTCTCTTTAGGAGGTATGATTTGGGATATTGTGAGTGCATTTTGGTTTTGAACAACTTCTTTAGGAGTTGAATATAATTGGTCTTTCGTTCCTCTCTTCTGGGGAGTTAAATCTTTCACACTTATGGGTCGTTCACGCTTAAGGAGTGCAACTAACGATTCATTTGCTGCCATAGGTTTCCTAATTGAAATATTAATTTGTGCTGAAATATTTACAATGGGTATATATGATTTGGTTATATTTATTGTATCAGTAAATATTGACAATTGATTAGCAATTTTTTTATAGATGTATGAACCTTTGTACTTCAGTTTCACATTGAGAAGTATGTGGATCAAAATGAAACATAGATTATACTTTCCAAGAGAATTCATGTTGAACTTCAGGTAGCAAATTTTCTCCTCCTAATGACGGGAAGTGTGTCTCTTTAAAATAACAACCCGCATATCTTGCGATAAAAACATCACATGTCAAAGGTTCAAGATACCTTATGATTGAAGGTAAAGCATATCCAATGTATATTCCAAATCGATGTTGACATTTTGGTACATTATAAGGGTGCAATTGGGATATGCACAACACAACCAAAAGTTCATAGATGAGAAATATTTAGGGGTTGACCAAATACAAGTTGTGAAGGTGAATATTGATGGTAGAGACTTGGTCGAATACGAACTAAGGCGGCTGCATGTAGAATGACTTGTCCCCAAACAAAAATGGGTAACTTTGTCCTCAAGTAAATGTCGTGCAATCAATTGAAGTCTTTTGACAAAAAACTCAGCTAGACCATTTTGGGTATCAATGTGAGCAACTAAATGCTCAACTTCAATCCCGACAGAGATACAATAGTTGTATAATGTTTGGAATATAAATTCACTAGCATTATTAAGACGAATTATTTTGAAGAGATAATTTGAGAATTGTGCCCCCAACCAAATTATTTGGCAAGGAAATGAGCAAAAATAACATTCTGAGTAGATAGTAAAAAGGCAAGTGACCACTTTGTTGATGCATCTATCAGGACTAAAAAATAACGAAATGGTTCACATGATGGATGAATTGGTCCACATATATCCCCTTCAATTTGTTGAAGAAAAATTGGGGATTCAACATTGACCTTTACAAGAGGTGGTCAAATAATCAATTTACCATGTGAGCATGTAGTACATGAATAATCACAAGGTAAAATAATCTTCTGATTCTTTAATGGATGTTGATATGAGCTATTAATGACCCGGCGATTCATTATTGACCCTAGGTGACCTAGTCAATCATGCGAAAGTATAAAATTTTTTGGATTAGTGAACTTGGATCATCACATTATTTGATTTAATTGTTCTTATAGTTGTATAATACAACCTAGAAGAGAAAGCGAAGAGTTTCTCTAATATTGGTATCTAGTTGGAATTAATTATTAATATGTAATATTTATGTATAACCGGCATTCATAGTGTCAATATGAAATCTATTACGATGTATATGTTTAAAATTCAGTAGATTTCTTATGGATCTGATTGAATATAAAGTGTCATTGATTTTGAGTATTGTTCCATTTTGTAACATAAATACTGCTCTTCTGGAACCTTTAATTAGATTTACAAAGCCTGATATTGTATAGACATTAGCTTTAGCTAATGTGTCTACCAAACATGCATCTTCAGGATTCACAGTCATTCGTAGTGGCTAACCACGCATGAACCAAATTGTCAATATCTTCATTTAATTGTGCATGCAAATATTTGATCATGTAAAAGTATTTGTCTCTTTGATCAGGTTTATATATGTTATAGTATACAAACCATAGAAAATAAGTATTAA